CGCTCTCTCTCTCGCTCCTCATGGTCGAACTCCATCCCAGGCCGAGTCAACCTTTCTGCTATTTCTTCTCTTACTGATTCCGTACAGAATACACTCTCCTCCTACCTTGGCTTCCACGACTTCTACCTTCTTCTAAGGAACCGGGCCTGGAAGATCGCAGTAGTTAGGGTTTAACCGGCTAAGTCTTACTCCTTTGCGATTAAGTAAACTGACCTCGTCTCAAAGTAGACAGTGCGCACTCGCTGCGACAAGACCGCAAAAATATCCCAGACCATCCAAGAAAAACGACTGGGATGGCTTGGGCTAGTCCTTCGTCGTCAGCCTCACGACCTCAGTGTTAGTGCCCTCGAACCGAAACCACTTCCCAACTGGAGATGTCGAAGAGCGGATTAGTTCGAAACCTGATTCGACGTTGTCCGTCAGGACATAGAAGTCGTTTTTGGACCTTCGGTATTCGTTCTCCGGCGCTGGCGAAGAGTGTGGGTCGGACTGTCCAGGTCCGCTGCCACAGATCTTTGCGCGTGGAGAAGTAAGGTCCGGGACACCATCGAGGCCGGTTAGATCGGTCGTAATCGCAGCAGCAACACGTACAAGTAAGTACGTCTGTACGGATGTGCCTAGCATACGCTGACGAAATTACCCATCCACAAACCAAGCCTACACAGAGCCGGAGAATCATGTGGAATATAGGAAGATCGATATGAATGACCGCCAGGTCAACTCGGTGACAAGTTAGGCACTATTAAATTGTCAAAACGCCAGAAAAAATAACAAATTTGTTTCAGCCAGCACTATCTCAAATCTAAACAAAGAAAAGGCTTCTGTTTTCAATACAAAAACAAAAAAGGCAGTGACACAGCCCGGGGGAGGGAGGATGAAAGCCCATAACACTGGATGGAATAATACAAAGGTTACAAGGGGCGGGAGAGGAGGAGTTGAACAGAACCGGGTCCTAACAGTGGGGGGGCGGACAGATGTGTGTCAGTAGTGGTAGAGGACCAGAGCCACGCAGACCATCAAGGCACTCAGGACGAAGCTCAGCTTGAGCACAAGACCGAAGATGAGGACGGAGAGCAGGGTTGTCACAACCATGGCCGAGGAGATGATGAAGAGACGCACCAGATTGCTGGCATACTTCATCACAAAGCCCATGAGGATTCCGCTGATGGCTTGGGTCAACACCAGCCACCAGGTGTAGGAGGAGAATCCATGAAAGACGTTGAGATCACCTGCAAAAGCGGAGGCACGGAACAATAAAGTCATGACAGTTGGCATATAACCAACAGTAGTAGGCATAGTACAACAGAGCAGCAGAGAGGAGTACATGGTGTGCTGGTGTACGGAGAACTCAAAACCACGGTTTACAGGAAAGTGACGAAGGTGCCTCTGGTATTCTGATTTATCAGAGAAACCATCCACCATCGCACAAACGCACCTGCCTAAGAACACAAGACACAGCCGCGTAGAAACCCACTGTACCGAACTAGCCGAAAAGAAGGCTGCGCGGTCCATTTTCTGTGGAAACTCTTCAAGGTCAATGGACATCCTGGCAGTTTTGTTGAAGAAAGCAGGCGAGAAGTCGCCAAAAGAAGAAAACTGAAGGCGCAGCCAAAAAGCAAAATGCTGGCGAGCAAGCTAGTATATCCGAAGAAGTTGCTATAGACTGGTGAGCGAATTCGGGATTGCCGTCGCTCACAGACTGGAAGCGACAATCCGCCGAGAACTCACGCGGCCTAAGGACCCAATTCCCGTTATCAGA